CTGGAGATGGTGACGAACGAGGCAGAGCTGCCCATGGTCTCCATCTTCAAGCAGAAGCGGGTGAAGGGCTGGTGGCCGTTCGTGGCCAGAGATGAGAATGATGAGCTGGAGATTACCGTAAGGATGAGGAAAAGGGAGGGATTTTGCATCCTGGGGATTGAACTCTGCAGACACCCACCACCACCCCCCCGCACTTGCCTCTGTTCCCTCAGGTCCCCTCTGTCACCATGTCTTGGGGGGCTGAGGTGGGGAGCATTGCCTAGGTCTCAGCACAACTCTCTGCTCCCTGCAGGGGAAAGTGGAGGCTGAACTGCACCTTCTGACGGCAGAGGAGGCAGAGAAATCCCCCGCTGGGCTGGCTCGCAACGAGCCTGATCCACTGGAGAAACCCAAGTAAGTAGGAAACCCCACTCCCCAGCAGGCACCTGGGCTTCTGGGAGAAGCTGTGGGGTGGTCCCCGGGGAGGGAGCCAGGCATGGGGAGGCGAGGAGGGGTCGCACCAGGGGATGTAGGAATGAGGGTTATGGGCAGAGCCGTCTCTGCTGGTCCCCCCCTATTGCCTGCTATTCACTGCCCCACTGCTTTTCCTTACTCTGTTCCTCCTCTGCCTCTCTTCTTGGTTCCATTCCCTTTCCTTGGCCTCCCACCTCCTCCTCCTCCTCTCCGGTCCTCACCGTCAGATTCCAGCTTCAACTGGAATCCTCACGCTCCATCACGAACCTGCATTACTCCATCTGGCACATGTCATGCTGACTCCCCTTGTCCACCCTCCTCATCCTCCTGGCTGGGCTCTTTCACTCTGTGCAGGCTTACCCAGGGAAGGGGATCCTGCACCCCACTTTGCCCACCATGTCCATTGTTGCACTGCCTGCCGTGCATCCCTTCTCCACAGCCATGGCATTAACGATGGGTATTTGCTTCCCCTGCAGCCGCCCGGACACGTCCTTCATCTGGTTCCTGAACCCACTCAAGTCCATCAAATACCTCATCTGCACGCGCTACAAGTGGCTCATCATCAAAATCGTGCTGGCCCTGTTGCTCCTCATCATGATCGCCCTCTTCCTCTACAGCATGCCAGGCTACATGGTCAAGAAGCTGCTGGGAGCATGAAGCATGGGAGCCTCCCCCACGTCCCCAGCCCCGTGCCAGCACCTTCCCCAGCTCCATGCCCCCCTTCTCCCCACAGCCTCTCAGCAGCCTCAGGGGGACATCTCCCTGCTGCTGCTGCTGCTGCTGGGCCTCCTCGTTTGCATTCCTCCTCTGTGGGTCCCATTCGTGGCTTTACTCCCAGAGAAATGGGGCTGGAGGATGGCGTCGATGGTGCCCAGCTGGCCACCGCGGGGCACCCAGGCTGGGGGTCTCGGAGCCCTTTGCCCACTGGGGCCATGGCGGGTGCCCTCCCGGGGAGCTCAGCCTCAGGGGAAGGGGAGCGAGAGCTGGGGCTGGAGCCGTGGGAGCGCTCCCGAAAGGCTCGTTGGAGGGACAGTCAGAAACAAGGATGAAGCAGGGACCGGGGATAGCTGGGGGACATGCCAGACCCATCAGCGTGGGGACGGCACAGAGCCCGTCCCCCCCTGCCAGCACTGTCCCTGCTCCACTCATAGCTCTGGAGGCCACTGCCCCCCCCCCCCCACGCCCCCCCACGGGGGACACCAGGCTTCGTGCCCCAGCAGCCGCCAAGGCCCTGCAGAGAGCCCGGGGGCTGTGCAAGGGGCAGGCCCTGCCCTTCCCTCCCCATGGCTCTGGCAGAGGCAGGGAAGCGGCCAGCAGCTCAAACATCTTCCTAAGGTTACCGACCCGGAGGTGGTGGTGGCTGGACGTCCCCGGGGGCTCACAGGGAGCCAGGTTCTCTGGCACAGCGTGAGCTCCCTGTGGCCTTCTTGATTCTTGGTTTTTTGTGTTTGGATTGATATGTATTGCGGCTGGAGTCTTCCTTGCCGTGTATATCAGGGAAGGGCTCTTTTCTCAGCTCACTGCGATATTCAGCTGTTGAAAAGCCACCTTTCTCAGCTTCAAGTGTGCAAGACCCTCACTGAATAATTGAGGAGATCTCGGGGGATGGTTTTAGGATGCTACTGTTTTAATCAGTCAATAAAAATGGGCTTTCACTGCCAGGTTCTCCGCCGAGGTCTCGCGTTAGCGGGGAGAGGGCTTGTCGCTGGCTGCTGTTCAAGACGAGCCCTTTTCTCCTTCCCTCCGTCTGCCCCGACGCTTCCCGGTCGCAGCCTGCTGCCTCTCCCCGGTTCCCGTGCCCTGGGCGGCAGCCCGGTCCCTCAGCTGCACGGGGACCAAAACCGGCATGGCCCTGCCTTCCCCTCTGGGCAGGACGGCAGCAGGCAGACAGGGATCGAGAGGGGCTGCTGCTGGGCAGGCAAGTCCCAGTCACTTCCCTCCATCATCTGCCGGCTGCACTGGGGTGGGGGGGGCTGCCCAGCGGGCAGTCTCTTCTCGCCCATCCTAGGAGGGAGAAAGGAGGTGAGGAGGGACCCCTGGGCTCCATTTGTCCCCAAGCAGGAACCCCCGGGGCAGGGAGGCCCCACAGAGGCCCAGGGGGGCTTTGAGGGAAGGGGTGCGGGGGGGGGTGAGCGGCGGGCATCGGGCATCTCCTGGGCATCCCTGGCATTTCATTTCCCCTTGCCCTCCGCAAGCCCCGCAGGACACACCACCTCCCCTGGCCTCTTCCACCCATCAGGGTCCTGCGCCTCTCGCTGGCTCTGTGCCGGACCCTGCCTCTCCGCGTGCTGTCCCTCCCAGCAGTCCCGTGTGTGCACGGGAAGCACCGGCTTAGCCGGGGCACATCTTCCCCCCCTGCCCCAGGACCCGCACAGGCCCCGAGTGCCGATCCCCAGGAGAGCCCAGGAGGGCCCCCTTGCTGGTGGAGGGCGGTGGGGGAGGGAAATGGGGGTGCCTCTCCTAACCGCCGTGACCATCCTCCAAAAAAACCGACAACCTCCGGC